GGAGGCTCGCCGGGGCCCGAGGGCCACTTCCCGGGCCACCTGGTGGACGTCAGCGGCGCCGGGACGCTGTCCCACAGCTACCAGTATGAGGTGTGTCTGACGGGAGGATCAGGCACCAGCGACTTCAAATTCTTAAAACCAGTTGTCCCTAACCTGCAGTACCAGAGCACAGGAAGAGGAGCAGAAGAAAATTCCTCAATTCGAAATGATTTGGGTTTCTGATAATGAAAAAATTCTGGTGTCTATCTGTGAGTATATTCCTATTAAGAAATTTATCCTGAGTTACTGCTAAAAATGTACTTTTACATTTTTTCAAATATTCCTATAAAATACCTTTAATTTAGAAAGCAATCAAACCAGCCTTAAGGACCCTCTACACAGCAAGCTATGCATGTGTCATGTCTTGTCTCCTGTACCCTGTGCAGGCTGTTACACAAAATGTTTTTCTTTTTAAAAGATTTTAAAATTTATTTATGCATACAGAACTGGGGTACAGGCAGGAGGTTCAGGGATGGTGAGAGAATTTCCCACAGACAGAGTGGGGAGCAGAACTGGCTGATGGGCCAAGTACACTGCTGAGGGGAGCAGCAGGCGGGTCAGGAGAGGTCTGCTGTGCCGTGTGGGTCACATCTGGGCAGGAAACAACTCACATTGAGGCAACTGCAGTCAGCTTGGGGGTTGCTGTACCAGAGAGCACTGGTTTTTATTGCCCTCCAACTTTTTTTTTTTTTGCTACCTTCCCCCTAAGTTATTAGAGTGCTGTGAATGTAATTCAAGCCTACATTTTAGGAGAAGATGTAGAATGTCTTTTAAAGCTTTAAAAAATGTGCTTACTATTCTCCACTATTTTAACACTGGCACTTAATACTAAACTGATGAGGGAAGAAATTGTAGCAATGAGGAAGTAGATGTTCTGCAGGTTCACAAATCACCACTAATGGCAAAGTTGAGTCTCTCTTCCCTCTGTCTGACTCTGGAAAGTTGCTATGATGCTATGTGTCATCACATATCACCTGACAAGTTCCACCCATAATCAAAGATAAGACATCTTAGGCCCTCCCTGGTGGTGCAACAGGCTAAAGCACAGCACTGTGAAGCTGCCCATAGCCACCTCAGTGGGAGTTAGACCCACCACTGCTTCCCGCAGCAGGTACTCCGTCTGCTTGTTCTGCCCCCTCTCTGACTCTGGTGATCTGGCCTGTACCCCAGTTCTGTATGCATAAATAACTAAGTCTTTTTAAAAAAAGAAAGAAAAGACATCCCAACCAAATGCAAAGCATAGTGGATCTTGTTTGAATTGAAACAACTACAACCATTTTTTAAACAGTTGGAGAATGTGTAGTTAATATTAAACAATATTAACTAAAATTCCTAGGTGTAGAATTTGCATGTTTTTTTAAAGCCATTGAAAGTTCTATATAATGAAGTATTGTGGGTAAAAATTTAGTTTGTCTCATGTAAAAATGCTGGGGAAATAAGGCAATTATGCAAAATATTGATAATTGTGAGTACTCAGAAGTTCATTTCCTCCTTTGGATTTGAATTTTTTTCATGTAAAGCAACTTAAAATTGACTCATAAAAAAGTGGAGTTAACTAAAATAGGACATTGGAGTTACCACTGCTATCACACATTATATTAGAAAAATTATCTAGCCTTCTCTTCTTTCACAATTTTGATTTGGTATCTTCTATCTGAGCCAATCTGGTTCATGAATTCATGCATTCTACCACTGTCTGAATCTTGGGTGTTTTCTAGGTATGGCAATGGATTTGATGCTATGTGGTGCCATCAAATGACATGTCTGTGTACAGTGTGTAGTTTATAACATTAATTTCTCTCCACATCAATCTCTCTATCTCTATGTTGGGGAGTCCATAGTAGTCCTATCTGATCAGTATACCTATCTAATAGGCATTATTATCTCCAGTTTATGGAGCAGGAAACTGAGGAAGAGATTAAAGGTATATTTGTCCAAGGTATATAGCTGCTGATTATTCCCATATTTTGGGGCAATGAAAGTATATAATTTTGAAAGTTGTCTGTGATACCTAATTGCATATGTTTTTAATATCTTGTATATATTTTTTCCAGCAGGCTGTTACATATTTCCTTTTGCCACATTCAATTTGCATTATTTGAAGTAAAAAGGCCCTATTAATGTCATTTTCTTGGGTGTCTCTCACATATTTCTCTTGTTTTGCCTTCACCCAAAGGTCTTGTGATAGTAAAGATAGCATTGTAACCATATGTATCTATAGACTAGAATTAGGAATACTGCGTCCATTTTAATCCCAGAAACTGTAAAATCCTGTGGCGACACATGGTGGCGCTGCAGGATAAGAAGGTAAAACTCCAAAACTGCGGCTGCTCCAGCCACAGGCAAAATTTACCAACAAAGCCAGGAAGCCCACGGGAAGCTTGGATGTCACAAAATGAGTGGGTCCACTGAAAAGGACTAGTTACCGGAATATATCCAAGAACTTTTGTATATTAAGCATCATCTCAGATTTGGAGGTCTTTACAATCCAAGGGAACCACCCTCGCTGGAGACTACAGGAAGAAAGAACAATGGAGGCCAGAGGGAAGCTCATTTGCAGTCAAAGGCAAGTCGTTTTCTTCTTACTCCTATCGGGCTTAGCTTTGGCCGGCACAGAATTTAGGCGCTATTCTGTGGTGGAGGAAACCGAGGGGAGTTCCTTTATAACAAATTTGGCAAAGGACCTGGGTCTTGCACAGAGAGAACTCTCTGGGCGGGGGGCTAGGGTCATTTCCAAAGGGAACAAATTGCATTTGCAGCTCGATCAGGAGACAGGGGCTTTGATGGTAAATGAGAAACTGGACCGTGAGGAATTGTGTGGTCACACAGAGCCCTGTGTGCTGCGTTTCCAGGTGTTGCTAGAAAATCCCTTAGCATTTTTTCAAGCTGAGTTACAAGTAATAGACATAAATGACCATGCTCCAGTGTTCCTAGACAAAGACATGCTGCTAAAAATATCAGAGAGCAGCCCTCCTGGGACTACATTCCCTCTGAAGAACGCTCAGGATGTGGATGTAGGCCAAAATAATATAGAGAACTATATGATCAGTCCCAACTCCTATTTTCGGGTCCTAACCCGCAAACGCAGCGATGGCAAGAAGTATCCTGAGCTGGTGTTGGACAAAGCACTGGATCGTGAGGAGGAACCTGAGCTCAGGTTAATTCTCACAGCTCAGGATGGTGGCTCTCCACCCAGGTCTGGTACTGCTCAGGTCTACATCGAAGTCATGGACATCAATGATAATGCCCCTGCATTTGAGCAACCTTTCTATAGGGTGCAGATCCCTGAGGACAGTCCCATAGGATTCTTGATCATCGCAGTCTCAGCTACTGATATAGATATAGGAGTCAATGGAGAGATTTCCTATTCACTTTTTCAGGCATCAGAGGAGATTAGCAAAACCTTTGAGATCAACGCTATAACAGGAGAAATTCAACTGAAAAAACAACTTGACTTTGAAACATCTCAGTCCTATGAGATCAATGTTGAGGCCAGAGATACTGGAAGCTTGTCAGGAAAATGCACTGTTTTGACTCAAGTCAAGGATGTGAATGACAATGCCCCAGAAATCATCATGTCTGCATTTACCAAGCAGATCCCTGAGAATTCCCCTGAGACTGTGGTTGCAGTTTTCAGTGTTTCAGATCTTGATTCAGAAGAAAATGGGAAAATACGTTGCTTCATTCAGGAAGATCTACCATTTACCTTAAAATCTTCCTTGGAAAACTTCTACACTCTAGTAACAGATAGACCATTAGATAGAGAAGACAAAGCCGAGTACAACATCACAATCACGGTCTCAGACATGGGCACCCCCA